TTGGTAGCACTTCTTACTTGATTAAAAAATCCCTAGACTGAATGAAATGATACTAATTGTCTGTCAGGCTATTTCCAAGGTTGCATCTTAATTTTGCAGAGTAGATCTTAGACGAATTTTGACCGAATGTTATAATTAGTCCCCTTTTGTATTTTTGAACTCAAACATTTTTTATATCGAAAACTATTGTTCTCCAGCGTACCAGATGAGGACAGAAACACGTGCCGTACACACATTGGTATAATACGCATTTATGGTAAAGTCATTTATACAAATATTTTTGTCCGCATTCTTCAGCGGCAGAGACAATCCAAATCCGTTGGAAAATAAATCAAGAGAATAAATACTAAGAAAATCTTGGATGTTAATCTATGATGGACTTGTTCAAAAACGAAAATTACACTTTATAAATGTAATGCGTCCGAAGCGCTTTTCTGAATTTACCTTCTTTACAAACGCTCAAAGCCAAATATTTGAAAGCCATGGATGTATAATAACCGAAATAGCTGAAGAGCTATATTACCGAAAAAGAACTAAAAATAATATTCAAATTTATAAAAAGTTATTTGCCAACATTCATTCCAAAGCTATCAAACATATTTCTAGATGCCGTGAGATATTATACATTGTATATGAAATGTTCTTTATGTTAATTTTATACTAAAACCCCATTCAATATGTGTTCAATCGACATTTGCAACCACTTTTCAAGATATTTTTAATATGTCTTATAAGCAATTTGCAACATGACGACAATTTAACAACAACATTTTTATAATATTCTACAAAATTGTTTCAATTAAATGAAACTACATGTTGCTAAAGGTAAAATTGTGTCCTTTGAATACTGTTTTTATATTTGTTACTTTTTGCGATGATTCATTTCAATCGTACTAGTAGATTTGTTTTATATTTTGTGTTTAGTGGGTTTTTTTTTTGTTTTTTTTTTTTTGTAAATCCATGCACCTGTCTATGCGCGTTTCATTTGTGATGTGTCTTGGCTTCTAGTTTTCTCCTTTTTAACATCATTGTTGGTATCCTCTACATCCGTTTTCTTTTTGTAATGAAGATTCTGCCACAGTAGTTATCACACTCTGTATGGGAAGATATGTATCTAATATTGAGGAGTTATCTTTTAGAGATTTGAGGTTTTTATTTGAGTGTTACAAAAGGCAGAATATATAAGGATGCACATTGTATAAGTGTAATATAATTACCATCTCTTCTCTGGAATCTGGAAACAAAGAGCAGATTAGTTACTTAGTCTTTCTGATTATTAAAGTTGAAATGCAGTGAAATTCAAATTGTAAATACTATTTTGCATGCGAGATTATGCATTGTTTTACTTATACTTGGTAAAAATAAATAATTGGGAAAATGAATTGCTTTATTAGGGAATTTGTCTGACGTTTCGAATGGGAGAAAAAGAAAATATTCAAAATTACAAAAATACAGAATAAACTTAAACAATCTGTTTAAAGATTCCGATTTGCTACTCTACAATTGTGTAGATAAGTTCATAGATATTAACATAGATATTATTATATTTAAGTTAGAGCAATATCTTTACTTTAAAATTTAACCGATTTTCTAGTCGGTATGATCAAGTAAACAATATCTTTACAAAAACCACAATTTTGATTTAAATCTAGAGAAGGATTTTATTAAACGTCCGTTCTATAATTGCTGATGTAAAATTGTAGACCAATTGACAATTACAATTGTTGTACAGCGAGTGTCGACGAACTAAGTGATTACGCCGTGTTGTTTCTAAACCCGCGTGGGAAATCATTCTCGTCATTAAGTGCTCATTCAGATCGATGTTAACTCAATTATTTTTACAACAGAATGATTAAATCCCGATTGTGGATCAATATGGCGATCTTTGCCACCTGCCTTTTTAACGGGACATAACTGTGCAACGTTTTGAGAGTTTTTCCCGCGGGATTAATGAGTGATTTCTGATTACAGAACGTTTTCAATAGAAATTCACACGAAAATTAAAGTCTCTCATCATGCCGCTATTTGACGTATATTCTGTCTATTTTGTCATCTTGGTGGACATTTTCATGCTCGAAAGACGCCAAATTCGACACGTAAAGCGAACAAATAGTGATGAAAGATAGAAATCCTTCCCTCAGGAATTTATTTTGATAACTAATTTCTACTATGCAAAATTATTTATTGAACGAGAATGTTTAACAATACGAAAAAAAGATAGCATACGGCTTACAGCATAAATATAAAATCAAACAATACATTAAGTGCGAGAATGAAATACGGATTTCAAAATTAAACGTGGATTAAAATTTTAGGACAAAAAGAATTTTTTGGGAAATTGTCTTGTTTGTCATCCCATTTAAACACAACATACACATTTAAGAAACTGTACTATCCCTTCCCGTTGCTAGCGTTAGTTTTACTGCACCAGATGTGCATTCTCTCTCTCTCTCTCTCTCTCTCTCTCTCTCTCTCTCTCTCTCTCTCTCTCTCTCCTGTTATTGTTTTGTCTATATCTCCCTTTAATTTTATCAGATCGTGATGAAAAGAAAACGATCACTTAAATTCTTGATTCCAGTTATTAAAATATTTTAAGACTCTTGCAGTGTGTTAAGGGTTCCAGATATTTGATTAATTGTATTTTTTGTTGTTGGAATGTAACAATTTTACAATTATAGAATGATGAGAGACATTTCTCACTTGTAATCAAGTTACCTGCGTTTACCAAACATCACATTGAAATTGTAACATTATTACAATGATATATGGAGCTTTAATCACTATTTAGTCTAAACAGTGTAAGAGTTAAACAGTTGGAAGTTTAGTTAGTTCGTGTCACCAAACAATACACATTACAATGATGTATGGATTTAGTCTAAACAGTGTAAAAGTTAAAACAGTTTGAAGTTTAGTTAGTTCGTGTCACCAAACAAACAATACACATTACAATGAAAATATCTAAAGGTATCAGCAAATTTTCATTTTATTAACAAAATTAATCGGATACTCACTCACTCATCAACCGTTCTTCCACATTTTCGTATAACCATAAAAGAACGTAGTTTTCTGGTCTACACATATATTTTTTAACCTTTAATTGGTCTATATATGGTGGTTAGTTGTCGCATCGATAATCATATCACGTCTCCTATTTTTACATTGTTAAGTTTAAGTGTTTGTATAGGTTAGATAATATACTTGGTCATGTTTTATCAATATTTATGGCCCGAAGTGTAGCCGAGAGTTTTAAATGTTCATAAAAGATAACCAAGTATAATAAATTGTCTGACCAATTTAGAACGCATTCACACCTTCGAGACATTACAAATTCATCCTTTCCCATTGTAATATTCAAACCTTAAATTGAATTCACTTTTTATAATTAATTGTTGACATGGTTAATAAAAGGAATGTATATCATATTTAATGGTCATTTCAATGGATGGAATGAAATAGCACTGGGATCGTTTTGTAAGGACAAAAAGATAAATTGTACAGAAATTGAGTTTTTTCTGCTTTAGGTAAAATTTAATAGTAATATATCTTTTTTTTTCATTTTAAAAAGCACACAACGTTATATAAATCAGCTTTTTGAAATTTGTGTATTTTTTATAATTATAAAACTCGCTCAATAAAATTTAAAATTACGATCTTTCAACATCCGATGCTTACTTTTAATTGGCGAATGTACAAATTGTTTTTTTTTACTTCGATTAAGTTCCTTTGCTTTATATATCAACAGTTATTGTTTTCTTTTAAATAAACATTGACCCTAAGGTCTGGTATAAAAATTGATTAATTATTTTACCTACACCTTTGCCCCCTTTTTCATTTTTGTTTGTTTTGTTTCACATATTTACCATGTGATTATTTTCCTTGTGCTAAATTTAGTGGTGTTTGGCTATTTTGCTTGCAGTTTATTCAGACCTGCAACATGTAAGAAGAGACTGAACAGCGCTACATGTAACTAACAGAATGACACAAAACACAAAAATTTGAGTATCGACGTAAGAGTACTGGTAAGTAAGTGAAAGCTAGTTTAAGTTTCAAATTAACAGTTTTTGATGTCAAAATAGTTAATAAAGATATAATGTACATATCTGTATGTATACAAAAAGGTGTAAAGTGTAAAATAAAAACAATCAGTACATATATATGCATGTACTCTCGCTCCTGTTACGCAGTTACTGTGGCCGAGTTGTATTTTGAAATAAACATGTAAACATTTAATATAATTTGTTCGCTTGCTAATCAATAATCAAAATACCAATAGGGTGTTATACTTTTTATGTAAGACAAAATTTCATTTCATGTGCTTAGTTCGTCGGATCATGTTTAGATTGTCTGAAATTTTGATTCATTTTCACTGAAGTAAATTGTGTTCTTATGAAATGTTGTTACACCACGGCCTGAAGTTAAGGGGTACTATATGTTTATAAGCTCTCACAGTTGTGTTTAACTAAGTGACATTCTTTTGTGCTGCCTGTTATAAAGACTTAGTGGTTGTCGTTGATTGCTGTTTGCCATATTTGTTTTTCTTTTATTTTAGTTTAGCATTAACAAGGCCGTTGGTTTTCTCTTTTGAATTGTTTCACATTTTTTCATCCTGGTGCCTTTTATATCTTAGCATACGGTATAGGTTTTAATAATAAGTCCGTACAGTGACCTAGTATATTTGTTTACATCCTCGTCCCTTGGTCAATGCTTGATAGTTGTCTCATCGTCATTTTTGTTTAAACCACATCTTCTTACTTTTATATATCATGAATTGGGCTGTTAAATCAAATTTTGTTCTTAGTTTTTGTTGTTTTGCTAGTTTTTTTTGAGTTTTTTTTAGGTAAAAAGATGGCATGTTTGTATATTTTTCTATAATCCGATATGATGACATATGAAGTGACCATGACTATTTTACCTTTAATACACCAAGTATCACACCAAAAAAAAAACAGCACAAAGAAATGGAAATCGTTCTGTTTCAATAAATGATTAGTACAAACACATAAAGTCATATCTTTAATAATATTGTTTACATAAAATGCCTTCCAAGTTAAAAAAAAAAACCTCAAATAATTAATAGTTGAATGTATAATTATGTAATCCATGGGACATGTTCATGACCTATGTCACAAAAAAGTGAAAAATTATCAGATCATTTCATAAAAGCCTTCCAAGAGGCAATAATTGGCACAATTACATTTATTAATACTGAATTTACGATTATTTTGCAACAAAATACTATAATATGTCATAAAATCATATAAAAAAGAACCAATAAACAAGTATATATACAGTGCACTATTACAATCCGGTTTCTACTAATTCTAATGTATTCCATTACACGAAAAATTAGGTTGAACAGGTCTAGGTAAAGTGAAACCATAATGCCTGCACGCCTCATTTAACACACGAAAAATATATATATATAAAATACATTTATTTAGATTGATATTTCACATATTTTTTTTTCAATGTGACAGTTGAAGTCGTAATTTACATTACTGGTACAGGTACTATGAACATTCATTGCCAACAGTACGACATATGAAACACTAGGAGCAAACGCCCACAAACAATTAAAAAAGGAACAAATCACCTCCAATATTACCACTTTTTTCTATTAGAAAAGTGCAAGGAAATAGTTGAATCTGACTTTTACACACTACTTTTCACAAATAAACAATTAGACAATTAGATTCAATAACAAATGGTAAAAGCTAAAAATTAGAATTCATTATTTTTGGCATCGTGTGTTACGGAAGGTGTTAGATATATGAAAAACCTTTGTACACGGTTGTATAGTTAAAATTCGTCTGAGTTTATTTATTTGGCACATACAAATAATACTGAAAGGGTCATATCATTGATAAAATAAACTTATAGTGCTTAAAAAAAACCTATAATACTGATCTGATGTTGTAGTAATTGACACCACGTATATTTATTTCATATATACAACTAAGATATATTCAAACAAAAAATAGCTTTATAACTATGTACATATAATATAAGAGGTATAAAGTTCTTGGTATAATAAGATTTTTACAGCTCACATGTGAGATGCTGGTTGCAGAAAAAAAAACAAATTGTACTAAGTTCCAAAACGCCATTGAACATAATGCTAATGAAAAATAGAAGCTATGTATTCTTTATGTGAGTGCTGAACAGCATTTATTTACTAAGGTTCACAAATGTATCTTTACGAAGTGTCCCCGTCCCTTTTCCATGTGTGTCCCCTTTACTCATGGTATTCTCTCACGTATATAAATCCAAATCATTCTTTTTGCTCATCAACATCTTTAGCTTTACTATGTGTGCCGTATACACACAACAGGTATATTCAACAATGCTCTTATATATCTTCACCAGTATCGATGTAATATTATATATAAACATATGCATTTCAATTAATTGGCACAGTTGTCTTAAGACACCACACGAAGTATATAATACAATCGGTCTTTGTGTCCTCTTTAGGTCCAGTCAACCTTCTGAAAACTAACGTGAACGTTATCAATACAACATAAATTAGTAGCAGTTATTTCCCATTTCTTTGCCATTCTCTTCAAAACAAACCTGCTGCCAACGATGTCGCTTTTTCTAAAGCTGGAACGTTAGGGTAGTCGGATGAATGTGCTGAAAGGATACCAGAGTAAGGACCAGGTAATGATGGTGCTCCACTCAAGGAGGTTGCTACTTTATTATTCGACACATTGCTTGTCCATTTAGAACTTTCTGACAAACTTTTATCTGTAAGAACAAAATACATATGTTATATATATTGATATTGAATGTAGTAGTTATGGCAGTAGCACAAAGTCATCGACTTAAATAAGATGAAACAATTCAGTACAACTTCCGTTATCGTGAATAACACTATGCAGTCTCAGTGTTTTCTATCTAATGACGCCCTGACCGATAAAATAATACCGACGATACGAATTTGGTTCTATGTTTTTTCTTGTCACAAATGTATGATATCCTCAAAAATAAGCTGATATCAATAAGGGAGCTACCATTTGATTTTTATGGGGCTAGGATGAAAAATTTTGTTCTGCATTTTATTTAGTTGTAATCTCTGTCCTGCCTTTTTATTTTTCACTCTATTCGGTCCTATCTTTTTTTTTATTAGTGTATCTTGACTTATTTTTACTTAAATTGTCATCCTGTCTCTTTTCTTTTTTTTTGCAAAGTGTCTCATCCTGCTTTTTTTTACTCAAAACTCCTGTCCTGCCTTTTTTTTCAAATTTCATCCTAGCCCCCCACCCCCCCCCCCCCCCCCGACCCCGATAAAAATCAAATAGTAGCTCCCTGAGGCTGCAATCGTCTCTACATTCTTGTATTTGATGCACACGTGTCTGCCCGAACACACAAACAGAGTTATTTAAAAAATTAAGAAAAGGATAACTAGTAATTTTTATCTGACCAAACAACTAATCTTCTTTTACATTACAAATACAATGCATATGTACATGTACATTAAAAGACTTACTTGAAGTTTCCTCAGGCTGTTTATGCTTTTCCTTAGTGTTGTTGTTGTTGTTGTTAGAATTATTTGTATTGTTGCTTGCATTAGGCTCCTGTTTAATTGTTGTTGTCGGCGTGGATGAAGAAGATTGTTGTTGCTGCTTAGCCCGCTCTACTTTTCTAAATTTTGCTCGTCGGTTTTGAAACCAGACCTATAAGACATACTTTGTATATACCACACATTTATTTTATAATTTCACTTCTTATGTTTATTCAATCGTAATATGAGCTGCGTCGGATAGAAATCGACCTTACGCAAATAAATATCAATACCCAGTCTGTTTACTTGATTCGGGTTGAAAAAAAATCTCTATGCAAAGTCTGTAACTGTTTGAAAATTGATTCGATATAAGAACCCTACAAAACAGGCCAAAATTCGTATATTTCGTATTTGAATGTTACTACAAAATGAATCAAAGACATATGCATGTACATTTTGTACATGCATACGCGCACTTGCATAAGGTCGATTTCCATCCGACGCAGCTCATATAATAATATAAATAACTGTGATATTCAGCTATTTTATCTAATAATAAAAATGAAATTAAGATTCCTTATAAAGGGTCATACAATGTACCAGTCTAGTTTAGTTTAGAATGTATTGCAGAAACGGAATTTTCATTTCAATATACTTTTTAATCTGAACCTTACTGTCATTATACGACTGCAGTCGTAGATGTCACCAAGTAATCATTTTTATACAATTTTTTCATATTATTATTTCATAAGACTAATGTGAAGTAGTGAATATTTATCCATTAATAATTTATGGAATCAAATTGTGGTCATATTTGTACAATGCATAAAAGCTAGCTCACTGCAAATAAAAATGGTTCGCGAAGAAACAAGGTATTAATCCATTAAATACTTTGTTTTGTTTGCCCCGTTAGTATTATATATAACTTTACAGTATATTCCTGTAGATATGGTATAACTATTATATTTGGAGAAGTAATATTAGAAATTACGATTTCAACTATAACCGTTACGTTAAAGTGGTAAAGCCATTTTACTTCTAACGGGCTATTAACTTCTACATTCAAAATAAACTCTACGATTTGAAAGGAAAGCTAACCTGTACTCTAGCTTCAGTGAGATCAGTTTTCATTGCTATTTCTTCTCTTGTATATATATCTGGATAATGTGTCTCTGAGAATGCTTTCTCTAATTCTTTCAGTTGGGCACTTGTAAATGTTGTTCGAATTCTTCTTTGTTTTCGTTTTTCTGGACTCAGACCACTTTCATGACTATGTGGGTACATTTTATAGGATAGTCCTAAAATGGAATACTAAAGTTATCATATAAATTATATGCAGTCATTCAGTGTTGAATGAATTCAACGAAGATTTCATATCAACGTTAATGTTTTTCGCATCATGCGAGCATAAAAAAACGGAAATAGATGAAGAATAAATTAAAAAATAAAAATAAAAAATAGATTTGTAAATTTATTTTGATCAAAATCAGCTGGTCAGAAATGAAAATAAGAAAATAATTCAGAAAATAAAACTTAATTATAGAAATCATTTATAAAACCTTAACAAATATAAAATATAGTACATAACTGTATCTTTATTTTTCTTCACAAAAACCTTCTTCATATATAAAATGTGGGCTAGAGACCAAAGAGTAGGAATAAAAAAAAAGGAAATGATAATATTAATGAATAAAACATTGAAGATATTTTGTCATCTAATCTAAAATGAAATATAACTATCTTCAGAAAGACACACACTCACATACATCGCACAGCCGCATACACAAAAACAGAGGGAGTGAGAGAGGGGCTGTATTAAAAATGTCCACAATAATATATAATATGTTCGAACTATTTCGTGTACTTAAACTGATGGCTTCCATCAAATTAAAAAACAGACACATAACAGGCGAAGTTACGGAATGCTGTACTCATTGTTAATTTTGAGAAAATACTAGGATCAAATATATATCTATTTCTTAAAAAAACTAATTTTTCTATTTGAATGTTGATTTAATCGACTTTTTCAACCGCATGACACGTGGCCACGCATTTATTTGTGGTAAGTTATAATATTTTATGATCATCAAGCATGCTTATTCAATATAAAAAAGACAATACGCATTTTAAAAAGTGTCAGTTAAGGAAGAACCATAAAGACATCAATAAAACGAGCAGTTTCCATCAAGTGTAGATTAACAAAATATATACAATCAATTCCAAAGGAGTAATCGCTCATTATTCTGACAAGATCATAAATTATAACCCACAAGGGAGAGCTAAGAACATCCAGAAAATAACTTGAATATTTAACCACCGACAAGCTGATCTAATAAATTCCTAATACAAACTTTGTTAAGCTTCATTTTCTGGGATACAAATTGGAGAAATAGAATGAGAGGTCGACCTTAGGAAAATTACCTTCTCCGATGGATACATGTGGATAATATCAAACATAACGGGAAGGGAAGCAACTCTTAACCTCGAGAGAGCAATACGTAATTAATTTCAATTGGATTTTCCCAATTTCCTTTTTCTTAAATGTTATCAATAACACACTTTTTCCGAAGGTTGTTCTGGTTTTTTTTTAAATTTTAATTCGAATAAAGAGTAAATTAACAGGTAGAACAATCAATATTTACTATTATACGTTGTTTGAGTACAAAAATGTATCTGTAGAACCAATTTATTCAATAGATAAAAATGTCCGTACTCACTAGGTGACATTGTTCTCATATTGCCTTGTTTTAGTTGTACTGTATAAACTATGGTGCAATGTTTTACATTTTTATATTCGCTCACCATTTTAATATGTATCTCATGATGGTAATTCATAGATGTCGAATAGTGTCAAACTACAACATGTACAAGTGATAATGCTACAAGTTTTAATAATGATGGAAGGAATTCAAAATGAAAAAAAATGAGCAAAACAATATAAATGTTTCATTGCTAGTGAGAGTTTCACTACATAGAGTGTTATATAAGGAATAATTGTAACATGAAAACGTTCGCGGGGTTTAGTGTACGTAATTAAATATTTAAAAATATGAATTTAACATTAGCATTGGGAAAACTAAAGAGCTTAAGTGTACGGAACTTGATAAATGTATCCTATTGATGACTAGCGTGCGACAGAAAAACAATTTAGAGGAAGCTAAGTAAGAGAGAGAGAGAAAGAGTTATAATCATTATATATTTTAAACACATCATCATTAACATTTCTAGTGTCCTGCTATAGATGTATCTTCAAACGAGGGCTTGGCAAAGCTTCTGAAAGTTTTAAAGTCCTGCATTCAAATTACACTGTTCTACACATTCAATACAATGTTGTCATACCATGGTTAAGATAGTATTACAGCCATGAACGTGATGTTGTTACTTCTTTGTCAAAGCAATGTAAAGGAATTCTAGCTTTTAGTTAATATGAATAGAAACGAACTGCACGTGAAACATTGAATACTGCGATGTCACACTTTAACGTTCGAGATATCTGAATTTTTGAACCAGCTAAATTTAATACAGGAAATAAAGCAATCAATATATAAAATATATAGGATTAGTACTATACCATTATATTGTGTAATAACAATAAAACTAACGCAAATCTATTGTGTCATTAACTAGTGGAAAATTGTCGCTATCTTCTGAGAAGAAAGGAGATCTGTTTGATCATTTAACGTTATTTTGATACACAGAGCCCAGATATTTATTTTCTGCCGTCCCCAGATATTTGAAGCGTACTTAGACAATAGTCAAGTAATCGCCAACCAGAGAATCAAATCGAAATTCACATATTGATATTAGTTTTATATTCTTATAATTTGATTACAGCAAAGAGCATTTGACTGCCGCCGAGCAATTATTACTTGAACTAAGCCTCTGCACGCATTTTATCTTAAACAAGAGTGAAGAGAAAATTAATCAAGGGATTGAAAACATAACGGACAATGCCTTTAAACTTTTTTATTAAATAAAATTCGTATTAAGCAAGAGTAGAAATGGCATCTAATTTATCAGGAAAGAATCAATGATAACACAGGCTAATAAAATTCTCTTGTTTGCCTTCGCGATATAATGAATTTTAGCCAGACTATATCCAGTATTTGTCTAAATACAAGACGCATTGTCAAATTACCGGTGCTAAATGCTGAGTGTTGAAAGACATGTTCAATAAAATGATAGGTCGATTCTTATTGAATTTCAGAAAAGGGAAATCTACCTAGAGGTTAAATTCATTATTATCAGCACTTTTATTATTTGTCAATTGGTTGGGAAATAAATAAAGACTGACCTGCAGTTATTATCCTTCGGCATATTTTCAATTACAAACTTGGAAAATAACAACAGAAAAATATTAAGGTGAAAAATTAAATCTCATCAGAAATGCAAAAGCAGCACTGAAAAAAATGCTGACTGTATACATATTATGCTAAACGATATGAGATATATTTGTATTACCCAAAATAACGATCTACAATCAACAATAGAAGTTGTTAGGATATTTTGTGTATTATATCTGTATTTGATTTTATTCATTTAAATTATGTTGTTATTAATTAATCACTGTATTCTATGTCTTTTTGAGGAGCACGTCTTTTAATACCGCTTTATGTTGAAATCCTTTTCTATGATCAAGAGCAGACAAACGATACTATATAAATAACACATAGCTGAGAGGGTGATAGAGCAGATTGTTACCCCGAGAAAACATTGTCAACTGAGGCGAGGGGTAACAATCTGCTCATAAAAAAAGTATGACCCAAAGACCAATAGTCAAACGAGAAAAATCAACTGGCAACATTTGTTCTGAAAAAAGTAACGGCGTACCAGAACAGAGATAGTTAAACAGCTTCATAAACACCCGAGATTTGTTGTTCTTGCTTTAGTTTCTTTTATTGAAATTTTTTATATATAATTTTTTTATATCTGTTGTACCATGGTTTTGCTTATCCTTTGTCCGGGGAAAAAAATTGCATTTTAATTGCATACTTTTTTCTTTCGGTCATGTTTTGAGGTTAGAAAATTAAATGTACTGATGGACGATACAAATTTGGTAATACCATTCGTTCAAAAGCCGCCAAGCCTGCAGTTACATTGTACAATATGATCTGTGTTCCCGATTCTCATTCAAAACAATATTTTTTGCTAACGTGTACAGCAGATTTTTGTCTTCAGAACCGATTGCCATAACAATACAATATATTGTGTATATCAATTCCTGATCATTGAATGTCAACGTTTCCATTTCCAGATCTCTAAAAACAAATAGAAAGCCTTCTTTGAAATAAGTGAACTGGCTTGATAAAATAACAAGGTGCTATACCAAACATAAATAAACGAGATTTCGTCTTTGATATACGTGCATATGCATAAAATTCAAGTGCCACCTTAACAATCCATATTTCTTGATTTTCAAAGATTTTCTTAAATAATTTTTTTCGTGTATTGTTTTTTCCATCTCTGAAACAAACTGACAAAAAAAAATTCGGACTTAAGTTGTAAGAAAACAGCATCTAGTCCTAATATCATTATAATCGAAACGTATATTTCTTAACATTAAACTACATTTAACGATTATATATTGATTGATTTTTATATTTCTACTTTGAAATATTAAATATAGAGATACCAATGCTATATAGCCTCTTTTCAATTTTGTTTTTAAAACTTACTTGAAAAAACTTTTTCGGATGATTAATACAGGAATTACAAAATTCCACTGACGTGCGATTTAATATTTTTCTTCTCATAAACTGTGAACACAGGTTGAGAATAGATTCTTCCTGATTTTTTTTTAATTTGATCGAAGTGATTTAAGGTTAGAAAGTGTCATCAAAGATGCCAGCTTATGATTCAGATTATTCCGATTGTCTCGCCTTTAACGATAAATGTTTTTGAAAGCGAATCTTTAATTTGAAAAGTATGAAATTCGATTTTTTTTTTCAAACCTTGTTATCGTATAAATGGACGTATCAAGGGATATACGAAAGAAAGATTAATGAATTAACGCAAGAATAATACAAAAATAGAAGTACAAATTATACGAAAAGGAGAAACATGCACCATATCATTCTTGGTTTGAGAACAGATTTAATTTTCTATGAATGGTTTTATTTTGTTATAGTATATGTTCATTTTGAAAATAAGTTATTTGATTCTTATTCAATTATGCATGTATGAATGGCTTTCTATTTTGATATGGCTCGTATATGTTTATACTTGTTTGCATGATTTTGTACTTTAGTGTAACGTCTAACAATTATGTCATATATTTAACTGAAGAATTATATTACAA